GCACTCTCGCATGTTCTTGATGAATCGTATCCATTGCTCATTAAAAAGTGACACTATTCTAATAACGCATAAACGAGCCTATACTAGTTTCAGATGCCCGCTTACGGGAGGTTAATTCTAGCAATGCAGGTGCAATAACGTCTCGATTCCCGTAAATAGAGCTCGCCCGGAGGCGAGCTTACGCGTTCGCTGACACGAGGAATCATTTTAAACGAACAGTCGATACGTGGAATAAACGATCATTAAAATAGAACCGTCACGATATTTTCGGTCGAGTATGTATTCTTCTCGCTGCAGTTTTAGTTCGTAGAAAATTTGGGACACTATTTGTATTATCCGTTAGAACGTATTGAATATTTTTAAACGAGCATAGTTGGATATTTCTAAAGTACGAAAATAAGGATCTCAAAGAGAATTACTCATGCGACAGGGAAATTTGTATTCCTGAAAATACAAAGAATTGTCGTGTTTGTCACTATTATCGGTTTCCTTTTTAAGCCCGAGGAAATACGAGTCCCGTAAGAATTGAGAAGATGTAAATGTTCGGGAACATGCAACGTCCTCGAAAGGAAGGAAAATTAAAGAGACATCTCGAACGGGCCTCTTATATCGTACAACAACCGTATCTTTTCGTCGCACAGATCAAAACCGAGGAACGTTTCCGTCCCGTTGCAAATCACCTGTCATAGAGAAAGAGGGATGCTAAACCAGAAACTGTCCTCAACGAGCACCGATCCCCTGGAGGAGATGATCCAACCGGATTTGGCCGCACAAAGACCCTGCGAACGCGACAAATATTTTGAGCGATCCGTCGACCCGTAAGTAAAACGGTTTACCGGTGCGAAGGAATTTATTCTTACGGGGGCGCGAGCACTACCCCTGCGTCGCGTAGGGCCCGTCATTGTGGTGCAACTTGTTGCACGAGAGAAAAATTCATGCTTCGCGGCACGCCGCATCGTATTCAAGTAATTATTCCCGTACCCCAAGCTGCAGCTGCTAAACGAGAGGAAAACGATATTTCGTTAAGTAATAATCTGTCGCGCTGGGGACATGCCCCGTTGAACAAATCCGAATCGGGGGTTACGTTTAAAATAGAATTCGTTCCTTTGACAATATCTGAGTCCTGAGTCGCGGATATTGGTTTCTTTTCGTGCCTGTCCTTGTCTTCAGATGAAAACGATGGTTTGTAAAATAAAC